TCTGAGGTTATGATTAGCTTGCTTTTCCATAGTGCTAAGATGTGTCCGTGAAAGAAGGTAGAATTCAGTTCAATGAATACAGTAAGATTTATATTTGACTTTTTTTTTTAACTAATGATGAGATACTTAAGTGACAAAATTAAGTTTTTGCATCAGAAAAAAAAAGAACTGGGAAATGAAGATGGTCCTAGGTGACAAGAAGGAGGAGGGAAGGATACAGAAAAATAATTGGATGAGGATTTTAGATGTGACATGCAGTCAGCAAGGATGGAGGAACACAGGAAAAAAATGGAGCAAGAACTATTTAGCATAATGGTTATTAGGGAAGTGTAGCACCTGAACTCTTCCTGAAAAAGAAAATGTGCTTATCTGGATGTTAAATAGACAATATAAAGGAGAAAGAATAAAAGAATACTTATTTGCCTTTTTACTATTCAATTACATGTGTAATATAAACCTGCAAAGTTATGCAAAGAGATAATTAGTGCATCTGTTTTGTTCGTTTGTCCTCATCTGAGAGGAGATGTCCCTCCAGCATAAAGCTAAATCTGAAAAGGGATGGTGGGTGGGGGGGAAAGTCATAATTACTGCCTACTTTGTAACATGTCTTTTCCAAGAGAAAGATTGTCTTTTGTATGTTAACAAAGTCACAAGAGAGATGTTAAAATCAGCCAACATGTGTTGAGCAACTTCCTAGATATTTCTGAGCAGTAGGAAACAACCAATGAAGTAGGAACATACAGTACCTACCTTGAAAGGAGAACGGAAGTTACATGTGCATATGTCTCCTATTAATTTTGCATCTGAACATCTATAAATGTATCTAGTTCATTGTGAGTATGTCTGTGTACAGTCAGAATCTTTAGTCATCTGTTGTTTGATATGATAGCTTATTATTGTCATATATATGTACTAATTCGGGAAAAATAGTGGAAAAACTTCTTGAAGTCTTTCTGTTCAAAACTGCTTTTGAGGCCTGAGTCAGAATATCTGTCCGTTCCTCATCAGGATGCATGTCTGGTTGCTCCTTGAAGTTCAGGCTTGAAAGCACATGAACACATAAGAGGTTGAGGGGAGATGAAAAACCGATAATTAGTTCTGGTCTACTCTGAAAGATATTCTTCTGCCCCTCTCCTGCCCCCACCCCAACAGGGACTCGAATGAGCATAGGTCACCTAGGTAAAATAGTGACTTACTACAGATAATCAGAATTTTTCTATTAGTAACTTTTCAAGTGGGAAATTTGCTAAGAAAACATTTTTTTAATGCAAAAATATATATTTGTCTTGAAACACATGTTATTTTTCATGAGAAAACCAAATGCCTCAAAATATCCATTTGAAAGGCTTCTGTGGTAACTTACGCAATTAAGTTTATTGTATTTTCATTCCTGTCTTTGGTCTGAAATTTCAGTCTGAGTCCTGAGCCAGAGGTCCTGCAATTGTTCTACAAGACCCAGAGGCAAATATGTGGTAGACTGTGAAAATGTAGTCTGATCAGGGAATAGCCTGTAGAGGAAGGAGTCTTGGGCCTCAAGACACTTGAAATGTAACTCCTACAGTCTACTTTCCTCCACCTCCTTTCTAGCAAAACTTGAGGGTAGAGTCATGGAAGAGGAAACTTTTCCCTATTTACATACACTCTGTGGAAAGAGAGGGTGAAGGACACTGGTAACCTACACTTTCCTTTGAAATATAACTGCTGGACTACATGAGAGGTAAGTGGGTGGTAGAACTATGTAGGAGATATGACTTTTGAGATCTTTTTGAAAGACCTTTCCTACTGAAAGGGTAATGAGAGAGAGTTCCCTAGAGAAGGACAGAGAAAATACAAGTAATGGGTGAAGACTGAAGGACTTTGGAAACTCCATGGATGACTGCGAGTAGCAAAGAAAGAGGTGCAGTGGGAAGGAAGGGCCTTGAGATGGAAAAAAGCTTGAGAAGCAAGAGGGTGAGAGAAATTTGCCAAAGATAACAAGAATTTGAGGCTGATGAAAAGGAAATTAATTAGGGAACAGTTGAATGGAAGAGTTCCCATAGCAGCTTTGTTTTTGAAAGATATTTGTTTCCTTTGGGACATCTTTCTCACTATGGTGTGTGGAGGAGCGGACAGGAGAAAGGAGTAGAATTGGCTTTGTGGCAACTAAGGATTTGTGGAATTGAACAACTGTGGATTTGAATTTCTCTAGCTTTTTTTCAGGACAGACTGTAAAGGCCTTAGACACTAGAAGTCCATAAAATAATCCAGAAAAATCAGTATTTCCTTTGTGTGCTGTGTCCTCTGTACATTTATTACTGGCTTCCTTGGTTGTACTCCGTTTTCCATGAAGTTTCTTTAGAAGTGTGAGTGACTCATGAATGATTTCCTCTTGTGCCAATTAACTGTTAAACTTTATTTTTCTTGGTTTCCCTGTGGACTCTTAGCAGGGAGTTTTAATTGTGAACACTGTAAAAGTGATACGGCTCTGTGGGTCACTAAGCTTGGGTCTCTTTGACTACTATTTTGAAACTTCCATTTTTAAAAAAACAACAACCTTGAATGCAATTCTCTTCCTCATATCATACCCTTCTAACTTCATTCATCAATTATTTACTGCTCTGCTAAGAAGACTGGTTCACCTTGAAGGCAATTATCTGCCGCTTTGTAAGACATGCACTTTGTCACCTTACCCGTGCAGCATAAAATCATGCATGCTGCTGCATGCTTATGCTGCCACCTCTTAAGAATAGGCTTATCATTTGAATCCCTCCCCAAAAGCACTGCTTATTTGGGTGGAGGGAATTTACCAGTACTGCTCCTCTCCTAACAAATGGTGTCTCAGCTCTGCCTGTGCAGCTTTAGCACTACAAGGAAGTCCCCTTCTGCTTTTGACCTTCAGGATCCCTGACTGCCTGTGACAAGCTCTGAAAGCCAGAAGGGAAGTGTCAGACTGCAGAGCAGGAAGAATCAGAAGTGAAAGAATATGCAGCTGATAGCTCAAAATGTGGTTGAAATGGTGTGCCCAAACCATGACAAAGAACCTCTGAAAAAAATTGGCATTTGACAAGAATTTTTTGTTTGTTTAGTTGGTTGGGTTTTTTTTTTTTTTTGGATGTGTACTTAGAATACTTAGAAATGCATATTTGTCCCAGTCTGAGTTGCACCAATTTAGACAAAATTCTTTTAAGGAACAGTTTTTCCAAAATGAGTGCTTGTTTGCATTTTTTATTGCTGTTTTTTTACTACTCAGGTTAACTTTAAATGCAAGAAGCTGTTTTCATAAAATGATGATGTAGTTAGTCTGAGAGCCCATAAACAAAGTGGTCATTACATCTGTCACAGTGGTTTCAGACTGCTCAGGCATAGCTTTGAAATGCGAGGAGAGATTTCAGGTCAAAGCAAATTCTTGCAGTTTTGTTATAAGCCATTAACAACAATAATAAAGCATATTGTTAATCTAAACAAGCTTAGGAGAGCAGGATAACACAGTCTCTTTCTTTCAGTATGAGCTTTCAAACAGATTTTTCATTCTTCTTTCTCCCTTCTGTTTTTTCAGAACTTTGTCAGAGCAGAACTTGGATTAAAGTGACAGATAACATGTATCTTTCCTAAGTACCTTGCTATCGTATAACTTTTGATAAATATAGGTCCTTGTTTTGGCTTTTGTGAAGTCACAGGATTTTAATTCCTTTCCTACTAAAGGTGCAATGATTCAAAGGTTAAAATTCAAAGTGGAAGCAATAGAACCTCTCCATAAAACTTTAAACTTACAGATGGAACTATCCTGAGGTCTTTAGGAATATTTAATACAAAAAACTCCACTGAAGCATTGAACCAAGAAAATGAGGTATTTTCACACAATTCCTTTGTAGATACTAAATTTAACTAATTGACTTATAGTTCTAGAGAGGATTGTTGCTGGAAATCTAAAGGAACTCTGAGAGTGAATGAAACGACAACAGCATTTTCAAGACAGTTTTGTGCAAAGAATTTATTCTTTCACAACAAAGGGCCATAAACCCCATCCTTTTCTTTAGTATGATAAATTATATTTCTGTAATAATAATAAAAAAATCACATTGCTGTGTTCATTTAAGTGACTTAACCAAATAAGTGCTAATTATTCCCTTTGCCATTGTCTGAACATCCTAAGCCATTTACAACAGAAATGGAAAAGCTGCTTGTTGTGTGTATAAATCATTTCCTTGTAGCCTGAGAAGGTAGTTAAAAAGACAAAAGGAGTCCTTTTTTTGTGGGCATGCTTTTAGACCATGTTTCCCTTTGCAGTAACTCAGAAGTTTATGTGTACAATGAAAGATTATTTGACAAACACCACAATAAAGATTAATCAGAGGTTGACATATAAAATATTTTAGTTATGTTTCATACAAACTGTGAATGAAATATATTTACCTGGACTAGAGTCACAATCAGAAATCTTAAAACATCATGTCATAGATGCACAGTTTCACTGGGAAGTATGCTAGAAGATTGTAAGGAGGAGTGTGTTGGCTTCGAGGAACACAGATGCACCAGATGATACCAACGAAGAAAATCTGGGTAAAGTCAGCAAACTTGCCTATTCTATTATGAATTGCTGAGTAACTATAATCACAGACTAGCAGACTGCTGGCATCCTATCCCAGTGGCATTCATCAGGTAAATACACCCATCTTGTTTATATCTGCACATTTCTAGTAGTGATTGGCGAGATTCTCAATAAGCATGTGTGCATGGTTTGAAGCAGAGTTTGTATTAGTTATAATGCACACAAATACATACTGGGAAAGGATTTACTCTTCACACAAATGCACAGAAACAATCTTGTAACCAGCCTACATCTGGAGTGCTACTTAAAAGCTTTAGGAAAAAATGGTTTTGGAAACCATTCTGCTCTCACAATAACTGTTAGCTAAAACCTTGAGCTCAGCATGCTAAGAATTAACTAAACATACTTAACTAAATTGCTGTAATTAAACAGGAAAAGCAACAGAGCAGCAAATCCATAAATTAGTAAAGAGTTATCTAAATGAGTAACTTTCATCATCATATTCAAGCTCATCTTCCTCGTTGTCCTCCAAAAGTCCATATCTAAATTTGCGATAGACTGTGCCGTCCTGGCCCATATATACAATGTCATCTTCTTCGTCATCATCTTCATTATCTCGATCTCTGTACTCAATCACTTGATCTTCCTGGTAACTGGTACTCTCATGGTAGTTTCTCATGTAGGAAGGAAAGGTTTTGGAGTGATTTGTCAGCTTCTCATACCCACCTTTATTGACAGCTTGGGTTTTGGCTCGTGATTTTCTCCAGATGAATACAATGGCTCCAATGACAAGGAGAAACAAAATGCAGGTAATAACAAAGAAAGTAGTTTTGCTTTTTCTCTCTGGTGGTAGAGTGGTCCGTAATACACAGTCATCTACAACAGCAGTTAAAAAAAAAATAAAAGATTAAATGAGCTTGTGTGTGTGTACGGCACACAAGTGTGTACACGGCAGCGGAGTATTTGTCTTAAAACACCCCGTACAATGTTTAGGCCTGCTTACGTTTTTAAATGCATTCAAGCTTACTCTTCGAGTACCACAACTGTGTTCTTGTAGCTGTGATGGTATAAGGATGTAAGCAAGGTTGCTGGGATAGCTATGCTTCTTTATTAGTGTAGAAATAATCAGAAAGAAGCAGAAAAGCTAACAGGCACACAAACGCATTTTGACATGATGAGCTTAAAATGCAACAATTCAGATGGCTATTCATTGAAGCAAGCACTTCCCAGTCACCTGTTTTATGAAAGGCCTGGCCATTTAACATAACAGCTGTGCCTGAAAGAAGGCACCGTCTCCCACATCAGTCGTGACTGCTGTTATTTATGTAAAGCCCTTCCTATTCTGCTGATGGAGCAGTAGAAACACACTGTGTGCCTGCAGCTCAGCAGCACATTTTCACTCCGTTCCCCTTTTGATTTTTAAATGTCTGCCTAGTCAGTCATAAAGACCTTCAGCACTGTTACTGCTCTTTCAGCATGGTCCTACCTTGTGTTTCACTACAGTCACAGCAGTCTAGGGTGCCTGCCAGGTCAGAGTCACCACAGCAGGGCAGGCAGCGGCTTTCCTCCAGGTAGAGCTGCATGCTGGCTGGACAGATCGTGCAGTTGCGAGGCCCAGGTCCCTTGCACTCAGTGCATGAGCTGTCACATCTCTCACACTTGGGCTCGTCCTCCTTCAGACACAGAACACAAGCAATGCACCTTTCATTTTGGATTCTTTGGACCTGACCTGGCAGTTCTGACTTGTCATTCACTGTCTGGGTGGTTGTCTCTGGGCACCATGGGTATCAATGGCAAAATACAGTAGGGACTAGGAAAAGTAAAATTTTGTTCATGTTTCCTGGGTTCTCAGTGATCTGCTTGTAGGGAGAGGGGGGAAAGTGTTGTAGGAGCTTAGTTAGAGATCTCACCTAGCTAGGCAGCAAGCCAAAATTCATTCAGACTGTAAGGTCTTTGGCCAAAAAGTGTGTTTTTGTTTTGCTAGTCTCATGCTAGCAGATCTATGGTTCTTTGGCAGTAATGATGGTAAAGTGGCCCTCAAGAAGTGTACTCAAGAGTATTGTTAAATGTAACTGACATGGGAGAAGCAACATGAAATATTCTGGAATAAAGAAAGGCAGCTGAGAGAATGAATTTCCTTTCTAACTTGGGAAGGAGCAGAAATAAGGAATAAAGCTGGCTGGAAGTTTTCTAGCAAACCAGGTTTTTATTAGATTGTGTTGGTTGTGTTTTACAGAAACAGCTTAGATTCAAATATGCTTCTCAAATACCAGATAGGCTCCTGGGAGCCTCTGTGTACAAAGAATACCAGAGATCATCGTTGTCACATCTACCTTGCAGAATGCTCTGAGCTCAGGTAATTCAAGGCTTCCAGTGTCTGCAGTTCCTGGCCTATTGGGAAAAAATTGCTGGTTTTCTGCCATGGTACCAGGACCCCATACATGCTGTGAGGATTTGGAAACTCCAGTAACCGTTCATCAGACTTGCTGTCAGACCTGAGAGGCTGATTGTCCTGAATCAAAGAACCTCGGCAAGATGGGAGGGTCATAGCGGGAGGTCCAGTTTCTCAGTCAAAGCTCTTGCAAAGAACTGTGGACCTCTGTGGTCCCCAGCTCTTAGGCTGTTTCCTCAGGCTCGCAGCTATGGAGCAGCATTGCCAAGGGGATATTCCAGGCCAGAGACTCGAGGGTGTGCAGCATCTCAGGCCAGCTGGCTTGCCTTGCAGCTATATTCTTGAATAAACATCTTTGGAACGCAGTTGGTGTGGAAATCTGGAAGCTGGAGTGCCCAGACTTGTGGCACAGACCCAGACCTAATTGTGGTCCTACTCTACTAAATATACAGCTCTGTTAACTTCAGCCTGTCTCTTCACTAGAGGTTTCTGGCAGCAAAGCTGTCAATCAGGAATGCAGTGTGATTTCTTACAGACAAAGCAGCAGAAATCCGTGGGGAAATCTGAGTTATACTGGAAGAAAAAAATGCTCTATTACTAATATAGCTGATTTTGTTCACATGGCTTTGGTATCATCGTTGACTAAGTTGTGCCTTTATATTTACTGGTAGAGGATTACTCTATAGTAGACAACCCCAGAAAGAGAAACAATGCTTCCTCTGCCAAAAGAAGAAAAAAGTAAGCATATTTAAAGATAAGCAGCCTTGAAGACTCAGAGAAGAGCATTCTGTGTTGTTTATATTGTGTTCAGAAGTTGAAGTTTACCGTATAAATCAGAGGAGGAAATGCCTACAGATAGGTACCTCTTGTCCTGGTGTCTCCTGGACTTTGTATTCACCTACAAAACAGTCTGAGTTGCACATTCCATTTAATAAACTGTAGCTCCATACACAAGATGTGCAGCTGAATGCTCCCTTTCCTAGAAAGGCAAATAAACCAACAATATTACAACAGGAAAAATTGGCATCTGACTTCCTTTAAAAATTATACTGACCACTGTCACCAAAGAAAGCGGTATTTGTCAACAGCAAGAACCAGCAGTGAGGAGTCCAGCATGAGGACGTTCTTATTAGAAAGAGCTTGGGCCTAGTCTTAAGGTTTAATGATGTGCCCACAAAGTGTATTTCTTAGGTGTGTTGATATTCATGAAAGCTGATTTGGGAATCAGTTGTGCAGGGAAGTTCCAACACATTCAGGAAAATCAATTAGGTCAGCGCGCTGAAGTAAAATTGTGGGAAACCTTGGCCGAACGCTCTCCTTCACAAAATCAATACTTGTCAGGCCTGCTACCTAACCCTTTTCAAACCGCAATAAATGTTTATGTTTGAATAGCAAATTAAATTCTTTAGTTGCATAGGAAGAAAATTCCTCACTAAGCACAAACAGAGCATTGTATGCACTTTGTGTGTTGGAGACTCTTTTTGAAGACAGATGCTACACACAGTACTTCTGTGAAACATTGAAGTGATGGGTTTGTCCCACATGTTAAGATGCACCTGTCAGTTTCCCTGCAACTAGGCATTTTCTGCCACTGTCTGAAAGGAAGAAAATGGAAATTCAAGTAATTCACCTTAGAAGCAGTTAAACAGGTGAAGTTAGCAACCTTCCATCACCCAGTGAATTTACTATGTGATTTTTCTGAGCAGCGCAGGCTTTGCCTTCCTGCTCTTGAGAAACAAGAGAGAGCACAATACTTCTTTGCTTGTACATTAGCAACGCAAATACATTTCAGAACACCTACAGGTTTGCTGTTTAGAAGGATTGGCTTGTGTTGCATCTTAGTGTCTCTGTAATAATGGTAGAAAGTCTGTCCTGTAGGATTTACCCCCTGTAAAGCAGAAATCAATGGAAGTAGTCTGTAAATTAAAATGGCTATCTTTTTGTCTCAAATCCAAGCCAAAATATTTCTGTTACTTTCTTATAAAGTTATTACACAATTACATTTTAATAGTTCTTGAAGGTGGCTTCCCTCTAAGAGTTATTTCCACAATTTTAAATACTGTTATGTTGCAATTAGCCATCTGTGCTATCCAGTGTATCCTCTATCCGAAACAAATTTTGTATGTTACAATATGGTGTGGTCTAAGCTGCAGAGTGGCACCTGTTAGCTATCATCTGATGCTGTTCAGAAATAATAGGACACCAAATTGGTCCAAGGGGATTAATGCTGCTTGCTTCAGAATTGGATGAATTAGGAAAAAGAAGAAACTGAATATATAGATGTGTCACAGAACAAAATGGATGGTCTCTCCAAGTTGATTTTGAAAAATACTTAACTATATTAAAAGCAGCAGACATCACTCCTCATCACTCCTTTTTTTTTTTTTTTTTTTTTTTTTTTTGATAAGCATGACTTGTTTCCACAGTAGAAACATCACAGAAAACTTCTCTGAACTGTTTTCACTCTTGAGTGTCACTGCCTTGGGGCAGCAGATGCCTTTCCTGCTGTCTTTCTTCTTGTGCACATCACCATGCACTTAAGTGTTTGATAAAGCAGGTTGTGGTAGCAAATCCATAAGGTGGCTATTAAGGGTTTTTTTTCTCTTTAGATGTGGGCCAGTTCCTGTCAATGAGTCTCCATCCCTGGAGGTATTTAAAGAACGGATAGATGTGGTGCTTGAGGACATGGTTTAGTGGTGGACTTGGCAGTGCTAGGTTAACGGTTGGGCTTGATGATCTTAAGGGTCTTTTCCAACCTTAACGATTCTATGATTCTATGAAGAGTGTGATATTATTCAGTCATTGTTCAGTGTTTGTGTGAGAAACAAGGTCCAGCTCTGTAACGAAGAGAGCCCTTTTTTTTTAAGTTGATGAGCATCTCTGTGAGTCTGTGAGAGGCCTTGCTGACGGAAGCTTCATTACCATTGTCAGTTTGTTTCCCCTCATTGACCTGGCAGCGGGGCTCACTCCCAGCCCTCCCCATGAGTGCCTGGCTTTACGCTTGCGCTCTGTGGCTGGAGGCAGCCCTATGGGGAGCTTGGCAGGAATTCATATCCTTGCTTTGATCTCGATCAATCAATACTCTAAAAGTAATGTGGCAGCGTAGAGCTGCCAGTGCAGCAAGTTACCCAGGGCCAGGGAGAGCCCAGCAGCCCTGGGGGAGTTCTGCGTCACCCACTGCAGCTACTCGGGTCATGGACAGGTTGGTAGCGCTCTGCATGGTACGTCTCTTTGTGAAGTGTTTCCAAATCTTGGAGCAGAGAGTGAAAAAAAAAAAAAGAGAGAGATGGCAGGTGTTTTGATACTCCTTGACGGGTGTTTTGATAACCCTTTTTTTTGGTCAAAGTGGAGCATATGCTTTTACCTTCACAAGTTCGGCAGGAAGGGTGGCATCTTTCACAGACATTGTTGTCCTTGCTTTCGTAGTAATACTCGGGACAAGAGCTGACACATTTGTTCTTGGAGCGCAACAGGTAGAAATATGTATCACAGAAAAGGCAGTCTGTGGGTTGAGGCCCCATACACTCCTTACAGCCCTTGTGGCATCTCTCACATGATCCAGTGGAGTTTTGTGCAAAATATCTAAAACAGATCAAATCGTCATGGCTTTGTATAAAGCCCAGCAGTGACAAGAAAACCAAAACACACCACATCAAGCTGGTCCCAATCTGGGCACCAACTTTGCAGTTTGCTACTGTGAGGGGAGGTTTTCCACCACCTCTGTACTGGGACAACATAAGAATTTTTCACCTGAAAATAGAATTCAGTTCTTTTTCACTCTGAAGTAGAATAGGGCAGAGTGATCCAATTTCTCAAAACTCTCCCTGTGATGTAGCTCTTAGTTAAATATCTTGGACCTTACCCTGCTGGACACTGGTTTACACATCCTTTTCCTTGTCTGTACCAGCCTGGTTTGCAGGAAAGGCACTGTGAGCTGTGTTTTCCAGTGCAAGCGAGGCAGGTGCTGTGGCATGGGGAACATTGTCGCTCATTGCTGTCAACATAATACCCCTCTGGGCATGTTTCAACACAAGTTGTATCTGCACAGACAACAAGGCAGAATAACACATCATATTCGGTATTTGCTGCCATAAAACATCTTCTACAGCTGTGCTAGAGCAAACTCTCTAACAGGGGGTGCTGTTAGAGCGTGTACCAGAACAAGAAAAGAGAATGTTGGGATATAGTAATTATTTTTTGTTTCTTCTAAGTCTTGTCAGTTCATTAGTCCTCATTTCTGCAATTTATGTACATTAGCAGGCTCTTCAGAACAGATAATTTTTTATCTTTGTGAAATATAAATGCATAATACATAATAATGAACAGCAGCTGTGATTTCTTTCAGAATATACAAAAGAAGAAATAATAATTAGGAAACTTTCTATCTGCATTACCATTTTTCTTAGGTTTCACTCTAAGCATCAACCTCATTGCATTCTGTGTATATTACAAATCTGATGTTAAATCTGAGATTTAATGACATTTGTTCATTGGTCTTTACCCCTGTGTGTGGCTACTGCTTTATATTATGGGAATAAATGCCTGTAATGCTGCCAAATATGCCAGGTACATCCCACTTTTCCACTGAGATTTAAGAGGGGCATTAGAATAGGAATCTTGAATGAGAAATTAGGACTGATGCAACTAACTGCAAGTGCATCAAGCTAAAGAGAGCAGTGATTACTCATTAGTAGCTTGTACTCATTATCTAGCTTGTCTTTATAGTTCTGCCGTTCGGGTTGCAACTGGGCAAAGGAAGATACTTCCCCTTATTTCTATTTTTCTTACAATTCTTTCTCCACTCCAGGATGTTTATTTGCATACTTCAATCAACTTTACAAGCTGTAATGGTGCAAAGGAGGTGAGTGTGTTGATAAAAAAGACAGGTCTGATGCAAGACCTCAGAAATTTAAAAATGAAAAATCTGCATCAGAATTAGACTAAAAAAGCTCAGGTTCAGTTTTAATTCAAACTTTCTTTAGATTTTTCCTGCATGAAAGATCATTTTAATTTTTTTGTCTCCCAATTATTTTCTAAAATTTTTGTTTGCTTTTTAAAGAATATGCAAAGAGCTAAAGTTTAAGTTCTGGGATTTTATACTTTTTACCAATTTGTTTCTGAGACAACACAGTCTTTTGCTCCAAAGTCAGAAAAGTAGTTTTGCACCGCAGCCATCCGCTAGATACTGACCTAATGATCCATGAACAACTTTTTAACTGCTCTGCCTAAGTATTCTTTGCTCATCAGATCTCTGCAGGAATTAAACAAGCCAACATGAAAATGTGAGATCTTTATGTGTACATTTAAAAAAAAAAAAAAAAAGTTAAGGTTATCCCTCTTGTCTTTTTAAGCCCTTTGTAGGAAATAATGGGAACAGTACATACCAAGTAAATGAAACATACAAGTTTTGTTTAGTCCTAGAGTTTGTTGCTACTTAGAAGTCCTGCTTTGGCCCCAGTGAGTGGCAGGCCCAGTCTCACAAAGAGTTCCCAGGTAGCCCTTCAGAAGTGATTATCTCTGCACAAGTTATGTACTTGTCAGGTTAACTTTGCAATATTTAGATTGGCTGAAGCAGCTCTAGATGTTTCAGAAATGTGACAGAAACTTGCCTAGTTCATGCTTTCAGCGTAGAATAAAATCTAGAGGCAGGAGCAAGACACTTACTGAGAAGATAGCGGTTATTTGCACAGCTAAGACAATGGTGTTCAGTGGGTCCTGAGCAGTGGAAACATTTCTTATGACAAAGCTTGCAGGTCTGAGTTTTCTCAACGTAGTACTCAGTGCGAGAGCAGTAACCAGGTGCCACACAGTGCCCATCATGGTTCAGCATCAGGCCATTTCTGCAAGCAAGGCAGGCAGTGGAAGAAGAACAAGTCTGGCATGTCCTGTTGCATGCTGAAATGGACAAACAGTAGGAATGCCATCATTTCTGGTTGCATTTCAGATTATTATTTCAGCTTTAATTTTGCAAGGAGCAGTCATCATCTCAGGATGAGAGGCTGAGGGAAACAGAGCGATGGCTCTGCTTCCGCATAGTCAAACATTTTACTATTTTCAATCTTATGCGGTGGGTTCCTTAGGTTTCCTTTTGCACTGGCACTGCTTTTACTGAGCAGTGGTTTTCAACATACTGTCTCCAGCAATACTCAGCACTTTACCAGAGTGGTTGCCCATAATACTAAACACACCTAGCTTTGCTGCCTCCCTCTCAGCTCTCTCCAATTTTTGCTGTTCTAAGCTATGCCTTGTTATTTTTCTGTATTAGCTATCTCCTCTGTTTCCAGGACACTGAGAGCGACAGTAGCCGGCACAGGCAGGCCCTTTTGGGATAGTCTTCAACCAGACCCACTTGTATCTCAATACGATCCCAGGGAAAGCAACAGCTGCCAACCTTGGCAGTCTTCAGTGGCTTCTTCATAGTAAGTCCCTTCAGGACACTTTTCAAAACACATGCCATTGTAGAGGACAAAGAAGCTGATGGTGCACTCCGTGCAGTCATCTGAGTCTGGCCCGTCACAATCCTTGCAGTCTGCATGGCAGGGAAAGCAGTGCTTGTCTTCAGCATAGAAGTGAGAAGGGCAGTCCTGCACACACTTCCCCTCGTGCAGGAAGAACTCGTCCATGCACTCTACAGAGAACAGCAAACAACGGGTAAGCAAATGGGCAGGAAATTCTGACCTCTGTAAGTAAGGAAGTGAAGAAATCCTAGGAAACCATAAATCCTGCAGTGCCTGTTGTAACAGGAGGTAAGAGGACAGCTTGGGAAGGTAGTGCTTTCTTTTCCGACTCTTTAGTCACCTGTTCAGCTTTGCTGCCACTGAATATAGGTGGACTTCTGCTGAGATATTATATCTGCATTGTGAACTTCCTCTGAAATCAGGGATGTCCACATCTGAACTTTTGTTTGGTTTGTTATTAAAATATGAGTCTGTCTGGAATATAGGGACCTGAATGCTTGTCTTTGCATAGAACTGGTATTCAGCTGCTAATTTCATTATGAATACTTGTGTTAATAGCTTTGTTTACGATTTTTTTTTCCATTTCATCCATGTTTATGTTTCCAGAATGGCTTGCTCAATATTAACTGTCCTGGAAATTTTTGTGAGGGCATTCAGACTCACTGGGATATCCAAGGCTTTCCTAATATGTTTCATTACAGCGATTGCATTTTCTGCCATGAGTAGTCATTTGCAAAAATGGTAAAGAAATGTAAAGTTCAGCCAAACTCGGAAAAAAACATTCTGTGTTTCACATTGGTGTAAATGTGTATGTAAGTGTTTAGGCATGGATACACTAGGTCAGAAATAGAATCAAACCACTAGGAATCTCCGAAGGACAACAGGAACAGGCAAAGCAATGTGAAATCTTTACAGATTAATGGTTTAGCTTGAGTCTCACCATAGAACACTGATTGCTTAGCCTCTATCCTAGAGGTTAGCAATGATATATACATTCCTTTTTTTATTTTTGCTCATTAAAGAATTTCCTTTCAGATGTGTGTTTCTGTCTGTCTTTAGACAGATCCAGATGGATTTTAGCCAAGTCAAGAACAGTTCTTTGTAATACCTTTGCACGTTTGATTGTGAATGCACTCCTGACACATTTCAGGGCAGCGTTTGCAGATTCCTTCAGAGGCAAAATGCTTCTCTGAACAGGTAGGTTTACATTTCCACTGCTCCAGAAGCAAAGGACTTTTACAGGACAGGCATTTGGTTGCACTTCCCATGCATGTCTTACAGGATCCACTGCATTCCTTGCAAGTCTCAGAATCATTAAAATATCCCCTATGGCATGAAAACAAACACAAAGCAAACTGCCGGTTAATGTATAGTTATCAAACAGTCCAGGCGGTAAGAATTATAAGTACATATGAGACTTTCCTAGCACACACATTTCACTGGATCACACAAGTTTCTCACACAATTTGCTGCCCGTCCTCCACTTACATCCCCTCTGTCTGCGAGAAGAAAATTTGCATGGTTAGTGCTATGAAGGGAGTCTGGCCTTCCTTTGTTCTTGTACCTACTCTAAGGGATGCTGGACTTTCTTTCTTGCTCATTTCTTGATTCCCCCCTTACATAAGATAGGAAGAACAGTGATATCAGGGAAAGACAGGGAAGTATAACCTCAGTGGCCCTAGAGGGGAGAAAGAGTAGAGAAAGCCCTGGAAGTGTGAAGGCTGGGAAGAATAAGGAGGGCTGGGTTTAAAAAAAAACAACAAACCCAGGATGCTTAAGTAGTACTTGCATTTAGTAACAGCAAGCTAGAGACGGTGAGGAGGGATCATATTTTACTGGTATCTGTGGCGTGAGAGGAACCATAGACAGCCACGACTGGGACTATTAGTTGTAAAGAAAATATAGAAAAAATTGTGCCTATGTTTCAGGAGAAGAGGGATAAAAGGAGAGGCTGGATGCAATCCAATCTGCCTACACTCTCAAAACCAAAATGTTAGAAAGTTAAAGGACAAGCAAGACCACATTTTGAGAAGAGTGCTAATCCATATGTATACAGTCATTGATGAAAACTAAGGAAGAAGTTGACACAGAATGTAGTCCCAGAACATGTGCTTCACATTAACAAGCTTATTCTTCCCTGCAGAGAGGTGCTTCTCCTTTCCTTCTTGGAGATGACCTTTCCAAAGAAAGGCGAGGAGATGCGTTAGGAGCAAGATTAGCAAAAAGATAAGAAGAGCTGTGCCTGCCATCTATTCTTATCTTCTTTTTTTCTCCTAACATTCGTCATGATCCGGCATCTATTTCTCACAGTCCTGTCTTCTTCTCTTGTTCCAGGCTAGACTACTCTGCCAGCCCAGTCTTTCAAAATCCTCTGTCAGTCATGATCAATGCAGCAAGTCAACCCTTTCTATCCCCTACAGCATGTCCCAAAACTCAAAAAAAAACTAAAAAAAAAAAAGTCATGTAATCCTCTGCTCCAGTGGAGAGTAGTTATGCTTCAAGAACTTTGCCTTAGAGGCTGAAACCAGAGTTTAACTCTGGTGGACTTTGCTGAATGATGTCTGGGAAGCCATTACTTATAGTCTGGAATTTGGAAAAAAAGGAGGATAATAACAGCTGAAAAGACTAGTGATATATGAAAAGGTTTAATATTGTTATACTGACCCTGTGTGGGATAACTGTGGGGAATGAGTACTGAGAACAAACATATTAATGCCAAAACATTATCTTTGCCTCTATGCCACAATTTCTGATATTAAAAGTTGTTTCGGGACTAGAGTAGGCTTTAGTGCAATCACTTTGCATTTACTCTTACATTTAATGATCAGAATCTGTTCCACTGGCCCTTATTGACTTATTTGACAAAGTTAGCAGGAAAATACTGCCAGGGAATTTGTACTGATTGTAAGAAAAGCAGGAGCTGCACATTTTTCTAAAGAAGATTAACCAAGCATGATCTTCATGCTGCATAGCACAGATTTTATGTGTATATATAGGTATGATGAATGTTGATGGAAAAAGCATAGAAACAGGAGAACCTGATGTACTCAAGTGCCTGATCTAATATCCATCACAGTCAAACGGGGATCTTTCATTTTGAATTCCATTCAGTACAGGTAAAAATGAAGAATATAAGCCAAAGAGAGAAACACATCACTAAGCTCCATATTTCCATATCAGGACTTTGATACATCCACGTTCTGGGTTCACACCCCTGTTCTGTACTACTTTAAGAAAGGAACAAGTTAGGAGAATGACCAGAGACTTATTTTCAGTCACCATAAGGAACCATCCTGAAGTACCATGGTCCTATGGAAGTCAATGGGAGCTGTACCATCCGTCATAGGATTTCATGTCTAGTTTCACTTTTGATTTTTCACTTTTTCTGTAAGCAAGAGAAAATGTTTTTTTTCAGGCCAGCTGAAAATGACTTTTACCTTGTGGTGGTTTCTGGTAGCTTAGGTTACATTAAGGTCTCCCTTGAAAGGTTCATAATGGATCTGAACTTTAAAGAGCAGGAGCACAGTGAGAAAACAAGGAGGAGTCATCCAACAGAAGTTACTTACTCAGGGCATTCAAAACATCTGCCTTTGTGGAGGAAGAGCAGCTGGTCTTGTTCAGCCTGACACTTCTGACAGTGCCAGTGGTTGGAGCACACTTCACAGCCATCCATGCACATCTCGCACTTTCCACTTGCAACATTGCCAAAAGTTTTTTGAGGGCACAGAGAAACACAGGTATCATGGATAAGAAATGTTCCTGGCAAAAGAGCAACCCAGGTGGGGAAAGGCACCAATTAGAAATATATTTAAAAGATTCCTGCCTTGGATGGCTATAAAAAAAGCTTTCAACTTCCTCGAAACTTAACTTTCTGATGCTTAAAAAAATGAATAAAACATTCTTTAAGCCAATTCCCAAAGTAGTTTGCTCAGCCTTCACTGAAATTTAAGGTTAGAAGGAATCATCAGGATTATCTAGTACATCCTCCTGAATAACCCCCTATTCAGTAATTCCTGCATCTTGTCTACAACTTTTGATTGAAAAGAAAGAAAAGGAACTACATGCACCTAACAATTTCTTTACCCGTATTGCCAAGGGCATGTTCTTAATTCCTAGCTGATGTCTGACTTCAGCTGGCAATTATCTGATTACCTGCCTATGTTTTAAGCTGTCAAAGAACTTTCTAGTGACCATTGATGAAAATATTCCCTGGAAGTGTGTAGGGTACAGAATGTTTTATCCTCTTGCAAAACTTACCCAAAGAATCTGAAGTATCTTACCTTCTGGACATGAAGTACATATGTCAGCAGATTTCTCACAGGTCTTACATGAAGGGTCACAGGACTGCAATTTTTTTTTTGCATCTGGGATGAAAGGGAAAAAAGTTCCATTTTTTACTGTCTTATAAGCTTTTTTTGTTCATTTCCCTCCCTTTAGGAGGGCCGTTTCCTATGACTTTTTCTAAGCTCTTTTGAAAATGTACCTTTGTGAATTTTTGGAATTCACAGGGTTGAAGAACTTGATGATTGTGTTCAACTCCACTCTCTTAAATGGTAAATTAAGAGTTGTAATAAAGGAAAATATAAATGTTATCCTGAGATTCACTAAGCACTGTTCTGGACTGCTCATTGCAAATGAGAACAATAACCTAGCTTAATAATGTTAGTTTCAATGTATTGCTCTAAAACCAAATCCAGATCTGTAATCCTAATAGATGAAAACCAGGAAGAGCTAGAAAGTATGTACATTTGGAGGACTTGGTGTAGTAAGGTATTTTCATGGAGATTTTGTACTAGCTGGTTGCAGAACATCATTACCCTGTAACTAAGGGAGAAAACTATAGGAAGGAGAGAGAAATGAGTGTTTGGAAAGAAAATCTGTTAAAAAGTTCTCCCTAAAACTATTGTCTGCTATTTCCCTCCAAAAGGAAGAGTCTGATGTGTGTCAAATGGAGTTTTTATGTTTGTGGAACACTAAGACTTTCGTTATGCTTTGCATAGACTTTATTCAGTGTGTTACTCAGCTCCAAAATGACAAGGAGATTAGAGGATCATACCTAGTACAGAGAAAGTCTGTTGTGCAATCTGATAGGTCTCAGCATGCAGCTCTGTATTTTGATCCAAGCAATTATAGCAATGGGTAAATGGATGTCTGATAAAAAAGTAATTGTGGGCCAGCGGACAGAAGACAGTAGTCTTTTGGTTTTGTTGAAAATAAAAAATAAAGAATAAATCAGATGTTGGTTGCAGATTGAGCTTTGCACCTCAGTTAGCACATCCAGCTCATCCTGCTAATTAAATATGTATGATTTCTGTAAGTTGATGGACTGGCTGTTAGTATCCATTAGCCACATGCAGCGTATCACTACATTTTTTTTACTGCCTGTTATAGCAAGGTAGTTTAAAATATTGACATTTTGAATGAAAGTCATGAAAGCAAATGCTTTGAGTAAAAAGAGGAGGCAGGAGAAGAGGAGACTTACATAGAGCCCTTTCCCACAAGGGGAAATGGTGGGCATTTTATTAGGCAGAGAGACACTTGGTAGAAAAGTGGGTATGTGCATAATATGGCACAGGGGCAGAAGGAGGAATAATAATAAAAATATTAATAATTATTATTATTTATAACTGTACTGCTAAATGAGCTGAGCCCTAGCTATCTCAGTGAAAGAAGTTAGGTCCACATTCAATGTGGCTAGGAGACTGTCCATAAGAATATGTCACATCCACATCTGACCCTACCAGCAGCTCAGAATGTCTTAAAAACTCTCTGCACTAAAAAAATTTCTCAATATGCTGTCCCTGGCCAGAACACGAACATCTCAGGAGGGTCCAGGGACAGCACAGCAGATCAACATCTGGCTGTTTAACAGTAGGGCACTTAACAAGGACATGATTAGTCATTCTTTGCCAGGACTACTTGTGAATACTACTTGCACAGGGTAGTGAAAGTCTGTAGTGTTGCAACTCTTGTTGGTAACTGGCACAATATTAAGCAGCTCCAGATATATCAGGAGAGATTCCTG